AATGTATCTTCCTTGTGTAAAAGACAATAAATCATCCTTTAATGTATCTAATTCACTTTTGAATTTACTAATGTTTTATATTTGTACTTCTTGCCAATGTTGTAGTCTCTCTTCTTGTTTATTTTCTTTCCCCTCCAATAGCTGTTGTAATCTCTCTTCTTGTTTATTTTGTTGTTCGAGCTGCCACTGTTGCAAGTTTTCTTGCCACTGCTGTAATCTCTCTTCTTGTTTCTTTTGCTGTTCGAGCTGCCAGTGTTGCAGGTTTTCTTGCAACTGCTGTAATCTCTCTTCTTGTTTCTTTTCTCGTTTATTCTCTCGTTCTTCTTTTTTTTTCTTTTCCTCTAACAACTGCTGTAATTTCTCTTCTTGTTTCTTTTCTTTTTCCTCCAAGAACTGCTGTAATTTCTCTTCTTGTTTCTCTTATCGTTCTTCTTGTTTCTTTTGCTGTTCTTGTATTGCTGCCATCAAATTTGCTAAGCTGTAGTTTGATTTTCCGCTTCTCGTTTTCATTTTTTTATCCCACTCTCTGACACCAATTTTTTACGCCTCCAGTTGTTAGTTAATTTTCCGTAAATTCGTTCCGACGAAACTTTAGCGACACAAGTCCTTTCTTAAATAAAACTAGTTTATTCTTTCCGAATACAACTTTACGATACACTTAATTTCAACAGTCGCTCTTTAACAAACGCTATAATTCTCAACGAACTTCTCACGTGCTCAACAATATTTTCTCTGACTGCAGTTCAATTACTCATTCACTGACTGCATGTTGTGACCATCTTATATATACCAAACTACCCCCAATCTAGTAGTCTCCCGATAATTCACGAAGGTTCGAGAGAAGGACGTGGCGTGATACTAGTCACGTGACCTCGCTGACGTAACAGTATTCTTTTATATATAAGACGGTCAAGACGTGACGGGATCAATGTAATGCTGTGTAATTGAACTGTGGACAGAGAGAGAATATTGTTGAGTCGAGCACGTGAGACGTTCGTTGTGAATTATAGCGTTTGTTATAGCGCGACTGTGGAAATTAAGGATATTACAAAGTTGTATTGAGAAAGAATAAACTAGTTTTATTTAAGAAAGAACTTGTATCGCTGAAGTTCTTCCGAAAAAATTTTTTACGGGTAATTAACAAACGACCAGAGGCGTAACAAACTATATAATATCTTAGTAAGTCTTTATGTTAAGAATGCGTGTAGCCTCAAAGCATTGTACAAAACTACAACTTACGGCTAGATTTTCATGATACTTATCTCTGTTGATTCTAAAATCACATATAGTTGAATAAGATTTTCAGCAAAAAAATCGATGCTTGACAGAAATATATAATATAACACATCCAAAGTCCTGCAGTTTTCCTGAATTTTTATATTGCTACGACGTTCATGTGCATACAATTGCGTCAATGCGGAAACAGATATAATCTCTCACTCATATGTTATAATAGAATGTATTATGTCAACACATTTTCGTTTTTCCATAAATATTGTGTATGATGTGAGACATTGGCTAAGTATTATGGGTGTGAGGGCGCTAAACTACGAAATCTGATTGACTGGGCTTTTCTTTGAAAACAAATAGCTGATTTATGGATAAGTAATTTTTAAGACAAAACGTATTTCTATTTAAATGACTCCTCTTTGATTATTTTAACAATTGGGTCAGACAGTTTTATAATTATTGATAATCAGTTTAATAACAAATATACTTGGTAGTTAAGCCTAACTCTTAGTCTAAGAGTAATACTAATAATGCTAAATTAGATAATGAGTTTGAGTGTAATACTTAAGACATTATGATTAACTTATTAAATTCAGTCAATTGATAAGTTGTTTACCATTTAGTTAAACTGTACCCAACATGTGTTAGTTTTCGTTTGTTTGTTTGTTGCCAAGTGCAAAGCTACACAATAGGCTATCTGTTCTGTGCTCATAGCAGGAATTGAAACCTGATTCAAGGCTGTGATTGTAACGTTAAATATGTCTTAGACTTGCTGCTGATTTATGTACACTTTCTACTACCGTAGTCGATACCACAGTTTTTAATATTTTTCATTATTATCACTAATACTACTGTAAATTGCAATATACAACTTGCAAGTTATACAAACATAAACTGATGAAGTTGGTATGCCACATTTACAGTTAAGCTGAAAGCCAGAAAAAAACCCCAAAAATACAACAACAAGCTAACAAACAAAAAAATGCAGAGAGAGAAGAAGTAATATGTGTAGACTTGTAATTACTATGCTATGACTGCTAAGTGTTGGTGATAGACTGGCAACATGGTTGCATTTAACTTTAAATTGTATTTATTTTGTATATTCATTGTATTATATACTTATACAATGGAGTTCCATTACAATCAAAGTAACAGTATAATTATAACTGCATGGATATTTCAGATCAAGGATGTCTCTGTATTTAAAGCTCATTCTTTGCCACTCTAGAAATGGTTTCAACTTATTTAAGCTAAGAAGAGGCTTGGAATTGAACAGGTGAAGTTGAAATGCATTCTTAATCTCCAGCTATAAGAAGGACAGTAACCATACTTAGAAGCATGTATAGTTCACAAGATTTTGAAAAGTAAGAAGTAGCCATTAATAAAGATTGAATTCACAAGTCTTAAAGAAAACTGTTTTGTAATTGCAATACACTGACTGATTTGCTTCACTAGCTTTCTTCTTGATGCCTTACCAAACCTTGTATTTATAACATACCCCTAAAATTTACTACAAAATTTGATGTCAAAATCTTTTAGAACTTTCTAGGTGTTATAGGTCTGTCTTTTTAAACTTTTCGATCTTAATGTCATCATTAAAACTCACAGCTTCCTCTAGAAAAGAAACAAATTACAACATAAAATATAGCTTATAACACTATATTTCACTGTAAAAGTTCAAGAAGTCTATTTGACTTATAAAAATTATGCAAACTTTGTTAGTTTATTTTTATCCTTTATGCTCTGTATTTTTTAAAGAGAGATATTTTTTAAAAAACAATATAGTGTGAAAAGACACAGGCCATGTTAACATGGGTTCATAAGTTGGGTGTTGTATTGATTATCATTGACAAAATGCTTATTATTTCTGAATGTTAGTATAAATTTTTCTCTTGTTAAACTTTAATAACCTTTAAAAAAAAATTATAGTATAGAAAACTTAATGTATTAAAATTTATCAAAGCATGTAGTGCATGACACTGTTGATTGTAATCAGTATGAGCATGGGATTTTGTATTCATTAATAATGTTCAAAAAAATTTCAAGCCAAGTTCTACTAAATCAAGTACACTGTTCCAACGTAGAAGATTTTACTTTGCTACCTCCATGGGTTCATTGCCTGTTCAAGTGTACTTTAATTGCTAATTTTGGAGTATTTCTTATGCAATTGTGATTTGTGAAAATTGGTCTTTTGACAGACATCAGATCACATTTTATTAGGTTTTTGGACCTCCATGTAATTGTTTTTTCTTTCATTATAACCATTGAAGGATGCTTGATTTTGAATATACTGAAGGTGCATGTTGTATTTTGGTTAATAAGTTTTAATTCATTGGATAAGGAGTTGTTTTTCAGCTCTTCATCAAGGCTTTATGAATAATTTGTCTCTAAAAACATGTTTTTAGTGTACTTTATCAATAAAAATATGCTGCTCAGAAAATGTTCCTGCTAAACACATTTATTGTCATTGCTTGTTTTGCTGATATTTTTGACAATACATGTGTACAATGTAATTATTAGAAATTATTCCAACTTTGTTTGGTCACATTTTCATCCAGCTTTTTAGTTGTATCTAACAAATGTCAATCCTCCTGCCTTATTGCGCCATGCCATATTTCATAATAATACTTCACAGAGCAGAATTAGGTGCACTAAACAAAAACTGCTTTAATCTTTCACAGATATTTCCATACAAGCTATTTATTACTGTTCTAAATGTATTATGCAAGTTTCTGGTATATTACTGAGTTCTGCAATTTTTTATGCAGATAATAAATTCCCTCTTAATAATAAAATTAAATTCACTTAAATGTTTCATACAGTTGGACTTCTTCCATCCTCATTAAGTCTGCTGTATAAATGGCTGGCCCAGTTTATTTTTTTGAAATATCATTTACCCTACTTTTGGTGATGTGATGTTACCCTTTCATATGACCAGATTTTTGCTTGTTTAGATTTTCCATAACTCAAACCTGTCTTCTATACTAAGGATATAATAGTTTTAGATTTAAACCTTGTTTTTTTATGGTTTAAACAAACCTCCTTTATTAAGTATTACTTGCATGACTGTCATACAAGGTGTACTTTCTAATATTTCTATAACATTTTTTTGAGTGCATGAAAAATACAGATGAACAACAAGAAACACAGGAAACATCACTTCTTTTACTTTCATACCTGCTTATACTTTTACTCATTCATACCTGCTTCCACTGAAGATTTCAGCAACCTTATCAAAGTCTTAAAACCTGTTTTGGTCAGCTAATTTCTAAAACCTTCCTGGCAGTGTTGTTGCCAGTAGGAAACAAATAGTATTTTGGGTTGTATCTACAAGAATATTAAATATAAGGAGGTTATCATTTCTTTTTGCATATTTCTGGTTAGTCCTCATTTAAAGTATTGTGTTCAGTTTAGAGATCATTAAATTGATTGCTGGTTTATCTTTTGTACTGTAAGCCAACCTTTATGAGACTGCTTACTCATGTTAATAGTTATGTACCATCTATATTTAAAGAAAAGCTAATGAAGATAAAAAAAATACTTGAGTATTGAGCTTACAATGTTATTAATAATTAGGGTTCTCAGATTTCCAGAGTGATAAACTTTGTACATTTTTGTTCCATATCGAGTGACAATTTAACAGCTATTAAACAGTTTAATTTACAATAATACATTTTTTTACATTTTCTAAATAACCCAATGTTTAGCACATCTTGTTTTAAACTATAGGCAAAAAAATTGTTAAAATGTTATATAATTAAAATAAAAAATGCACTTAAGTTTTGAATGTTGTCAAAAGAAAAATGTTGCTTCTTTGTTCTCTCTTTTTTTTTTTTCACAGCTGGGCAGGTCTTCAAATCTCAATTCCTACAGCTGCCAAATGACAGGTTAGGTAGTAGAGATGGTGGGAAATACACTACCTTGTGATTTGTCTTTGTCAGGTGATTCTCCAAGTAAAATTTAAAAGAGTTCTGTAAAATGACAAACTGTATATATCACACATTGACGTACAGAGACATTGGGACAAGTTAACACTTTTAATATTTCTAATAGGGACAAAAAAATAAGGCTAAAATCTGGAATGTCTGGCAACCCTAATAATAACAGCAAAGTGTTGACCCAATAACTGTTTAAAATCAAACAATAGTTGCACAAGAATTCTTACCCAACCAACCTAATTGACAAACTTATAAACACACAGATGGACAGAATAGACCATTCTTCAAAAGAACTTGTAATGTACCGTATTAATTAATTCTACTTTTGTAAAACCTGTAACCATTTTTGTGTTCAAAGGAGGAAAGAAGGATTAGAGGAGATCTGATTAAAGTGCTAAAAATTTATACAGGGAATAAATATGGTTGATACATAATCTTGTTTCATGTTAAATGGTAAGAGTGATAGGCCTAGGGGATACATTTAAGATTTATACTACTTTAATATCAATAAGACAGTAATAATAGGTAGGCAAACAACAATTTATAAGCATAAGGAAAAGTTTTATTGATGGTGGAACATACTCCATGTTTCAACAGAATGTTGGTCTGTCTTCATACCTGAATAAAACAGACCAATGTCCTGTCAAAAAATCTAGTATGTTTCACCATTAATAAAACTTTTAGGCTTATAAATTTTTTTTTGCCAGCCTATTATTATATTAGCATATTATATTTTCTTTCTCAAATAAAACAGTGGATATGAAGTCTTAAAAATATACCCTCCCACTTTTATGATTTTCCGTATCTGCTCTACTTAGTAATATTATTAGAATTTTTTGGTATTTTATTACCTTAAAACCTTTTCAGTTACTTAACATAAAGTAATTTTTTTAAAAGTCTAAAAGTTGTGATAATCAGATCTTACAATATTTTAATTATTACTACATCATATTTTACTGACTTTACTATAATCCTTTCTTTTTTCATAAGAAATGGTCATTTAAATAATAATGAACTAAATTCCCTTATGTATGTAACACTTTTATTTTTAATTTTAATGTAAAACTAAATTAAAAACAGTGGCAACTTCATATTGTAATAAACATGGGATATGCTAGAATTAGACCAAAAGAGAACCTATGTCCCAAATGATTGGCTAGTTACCTTGACAACCCTCCTACTAGCTTGCATATTTCTTAGACCTGATTAAGAAGTTATGAATTTTTTTGGAAAGTTGCCGACTTGACTGATTGTCCAGTTAGATTTAAACAACATGCCTTTTCTGCTATTCAGCAAAAAGCTGTTACTCCCAGATTTTTCCTTTACTTATGTGTGGGAATTCTGGTCTTTTTGCTAAGAAGTATAACTGGACATTTTAAATTAAAATCTTTCAACAGAAGTGGAATTAAAGTATACACTTGGCTTTTGAATGGATAGATACGTGCACTTTTACCTCTTTTATAGATATTTTCATTATGAATGATGTTGGCAGTTCTTGCTGGACAGCAGGTATCGTACTATACATACTAAGCCATGTGAGTTCTTCCATTTCAAAAAATTCATCATATGGTTTACAAGTATCACTCAAGTAAATGTAATTAAATCATGTTACAATATCAGTCAGGTTTTAAAAAAATAAATTTTATCATAGAATGTGTTAAACATTTTTGTGAAGATTTTAGTTGAGAATGTACTTGTAATGAATTTGTAGATATTTTATTAGCTCCATTTTGATGTTTTAGGATACTAAATAGTTTCAAGATTACCCTTGATTAGAGTTGTAAAATGTCTTCATGAAACTCGTTTTTATAACTAATAATTATCAGTACAAGTAAAGATGTAAGATAGATTAGATCAGCAATTCAAATTTCCTTAAAAAATAACATCATTCAGTAAAAAAAAAAAAAACTGTTATAGTAGTAACAAAGTAGTTGCTTTATGAGAAAAAATACTGAAAAAAAAACAAGTTAGATGGAAATATAAAAATGAAAAACAGAAATTCATGTAATCTAAAATATAATTTGGCATGATCATTGGTATTTTACAACACGGTCAAAAAATAAAAACTTATATTCCAACATTTTAGTGCATTATCACCGAGATATCTTTGTAGATTTATAAAAAAGAGAAAAGAAAGATTGTCTTGATCTTTCTGAAACAGTGTTAGATCATATTTTTTATTTACTAAATATGTTTGTCATGAGTTACCTAACAACTTCGTGAGAGTAAGGACATTACACTGAATTTTTAACAAGGTTTTTTTGTATTTTATGAAGATACACAGTAATTTAGAAAATGGAAATTAGTTTAGACTGATATTTGATTAAAATTACAGCTTTTTTATGCTTTTTTGAAACAGATTCCTGTTGTCAACTTGTCATTTTCAATTATACATTGAGATTACTAAAATAACCATTTGCATTAATTAAAATTGATATAATTCTTAAGATATCCATACTGCATACAGTATGTTAAAGTTATGTTAAAGTTCTTTTGTCTTTTAGAGATGAGCTATTGAGCATTTACAGTAATTGTTTTTAATGATTTATTCTTTTGCTCTACTCAGTTCATTATATAATTTTTGCATCATATATATGTGAAGTAACAATATAATGCTGAAGTCTGAGAGTATACTTATTTAGGATTTTTCTTAATGTAACTAAGTAAATCAAATTAAAAACAATAACAGTAATTCCATCCTGAAAATTGTTTTCTTTATTTTTTATATTTTGACTACACATATTTTTGTGTCTTTTAATGTACTGTGATTTAAATTTATTTTCTAAGAATGTCTGTTGCTTCTAGTTGAAGCACTGAATGATCATTTTTTCTATACTACTTGTTGCTCAAGATGTGGAAGTGAGTGTTAGTGTTTTTGTGTTGGGAAGTTAAAACTGGTGTGATCAAACTGCCAATCACAAACTATAAATTTTTCAGAAGTACATGAATGAATGTCAGAATAGTTATTAGGGAATAATTAGATTAATCCATGTATTTTATATTATTCCAGTTTTCTCTATTATATAGTTCCCTGTTTCTTTCAGATGTTTATATTGATTATGAATGGAATTCTACAACATATATGGTTCACACTGGGACTCCAAAAGTTATCCCCAGACAGAGAAAAGGGAGACTTCTTCGGGATGAAAAAGGAAGACCTATGTGTTCCATTTGTGGAAGATCTTTTTACGACAGAAGCAACCTTTATCGTCATAAGAAAACACATAATTGAAATGTCTAGACTTTTCACTTCCATAATAAATTAATTTAGTACAAATAACTGTTGTATGTTTTTGATTCATTGTACTTAGATTACCCTACATGATAGAATAAGATATTTTACATGCTGATCTCGGGTACATTGTTGAGTATATTTGTACATTTAGTATATAAGCATTTATTTTTTTCTGCAGAAGTAATTTAATCAATAAGATTTACATAATCTGAGAAGAATAAAAAAAATATATATATATATATGATCAATGTTAGTTCATGTACATACATATTTTTAACAAAACACAAATTACCACATTGTTTAGTGTGATAAAGTCGAATGTTCACAGCAAACATTTTGATTTTCAGAAGAATTTTGGGATTTAGAAATTGGGCCAAGAAGTTCAACACACCATCAAGGAAAATATAAGCAAGACCCATCTAAAAAAGCTGTGTGTCCAGTTTGCAAAAAGTGTTTTTTTGATGCAAGTAACTGTCGCAGACATATGGAGATTCACCAACTTCAGAGAAAACAGTATTACTGCTCTTTGTGCCCAAGGAAGTTTTCTTGGAAAACTAGTTTATCAACTCATATGCGGAATTTTCATTCTGTGGGATTTGATAGGAGATAATTTGTGAATATTATCAGAATTGTTATATTACTTACAGAGTAAATTTGTATTATGTTTTCTATAAAAATGTCTCTTTTTAACAAAGATAGTGGACAGAAAATGCTACATTTCATTCACCTTAACAATTGATATACTTATATTAAAATCTGTGTCTTATTGAAGTATTTCAACGTACATAAATTTTGGGTTGGGAGAAATTGAGGAGTTTTAACTTGTTTCACATGATTTTAGCCACAGTGTGCATGATTCTGTAGTAGTATGATAATATATCATAGCAAATTATTACTGGAAGGGATTCAGGTAAACAGTTTCACATATAATCTAGGTTAAACTGATTGATATTATGCTTAAGTGGTTTGAATTGCATACTCAAACGTTTCTTCATTTAGCCTTGACATTCAAAGAAATAATAAATTTTGTGGTACAATTATAATGAAAAAAATCTTGATACTAAAAAAGTACATATTTCTGACAAAATCTAACCAAAAAATGCATATCATTCATTCTCAGCTCATATTCAAATGCTGAAAAATATTAAATGTGAAAAATACTTGGGTTTTAACAAAAGTTGTAGAATGTAGTTGCTTCAAATGGTAAGCATTGTGTGTGAGGCGAGATAACCTTTTTATATATTTTCAAAACGAGACCCAAAACTCGAGCGCTTTCGAATAGTTGACAAATCATCTTTTGAAGAAGACTAGTCAACTAATCGAAAGTGCTCAAGTTTTGGGTCTCGTTTTGAAAATATTACAACTTTTGTAGGTGATCCTGTATGCCAGCTACTTAACTTTTTTATATAGTTATGATATCGCTATTACAGTATACTTTTCTGAAATTTTTAATTACTTTTTCTTTTTACATTAATGTGGATAAAAATACATTGATATTTTATAAGGAGATGCATTTTGATTATCATTTTGCTAATATACAATGATTTAGTACCATGAGAATGTTAATATATATATCTGATGCACAGTATTTTTGGTGAAGTTCACGGAAACATTCACAAAGTTTTATGTGTTACTCAGAATAGATTTTTTTTTTCTCTTAGAATTAAGATATCTAGGTTTGCTTGTAAAATATATTTTGTAAATTCCATATTAAAAATATTTATACATTTTTTCACTAAAGTGAAAAATGAGTTTTAATTGAGGTGTGACTCTTTTGTTAAATTTTAATTCATGTTATTAATTAATCTTTATATAATTCTGGAATGTAATGAAATTTGTCATGATTTTTATGAGAGAGTCATATAATGTTCAGTAGAATGTATCTATAGAATGACATAAATATTAAAATATTTGAGTCAGAAAATATATTGTTATTATTAACAGATTACTCAAACCTTCATGTTTTTTTTTTTATCACTTTCGTACCTGTGTGTGTAATTTAGTATTTTTGAAGTTGCAAATTTTATTTAAGATTTTATAAACAGGCATCAACTATCATCATGGTGTGATGACAAAAGTATTTTACTTTGTCGCTACCTTTTACACAAACACACATTTAGTGTGTGTATTAAAGATGTGACATCATTATGTTTCCTTATTTGTTTTTTATATTTATCTACAAGAACATGTACACTTGTTACACAACATCACTTGTGGTACAAGAACTTCTATGTAAATTAGAATTTTCTCTATGAGAAAAAGAAAGACTGTTCATAAAGGACAGCCTTAATTAACATTTTCAAATTGAGAAAAGTTGATTACAAATTGTCATTATATATTGCAGACAGGTAAATGTTTTTAAAAACAAATTTGTAAAAGGAGGGAATCAAAAATAGTCTCGTACGTTTATGCTTATTCAGTACAATTATGTTAGAGAAAACACAAGAACATTGCAGTTGACAGTAGGCCATAAGAGTAATGGTTAGATATGTAATAAAGGAAAGTGAGTTGTACATGTGTTATGTATGCATTTCTTGTATATTTATGCTTTATGTTGCTTCATAATTTTTAAAGTTACGTAAGTTAAACCCACCTAGTCTTGTTAATATTGCGTGTATATCACTTGCAGTAGAATATTGGGTTTCCATCACCTCCACTTTATAGGTGTATGTATTGTGAGGGTTAGAGCAGCTTTCTTTAGCATGATATTAATCTATAATTCATTGTCTGAGCTGAGCGTCATGTTTTTGATCCTTGGTATTGGTGTATAATTACATATTGTAATGTTAGAGCCCAAGGCATGACATTCTTATACCCCTTTGTGCAGTGGTGTACTGGTAAAAATTGTGTTGGAAAGCCAACTAATTTTTAATAAATATCTGACTCTTGAATTATATGTGCACAAATAGGCTGTATTTCAGGCATTAATTTGTTTATAATTACCAACCACTTAAGAAGTAAGTTTATATATCTGACTGACATATCTGAGTCATTACAAATTATGTATTATTTGTAGTTTATATAGCATTTCCACCTCATCAAATGTTACTTGCTTAAATATTTTATTTTTCAGCTGAAAAAAGTACTGAAGCATTCCAATCTGCTTTAGCTCCACTACGTCACTGCCCTTGATGGCCTTAGTACTGAACAGATGATAAATTTCATGATTGTATTACATGTATAGCTAACTAGGTAACTATTTATTTACAATTAAAGGGAATACAGTGTTAAAATCATTACACAATAAGTAGTTATTAAAAACAGGGACTTATCCTGAAAAAATTACATGTGCGTCATAGAACACCAAAACATATGTAGTCTTTTTTTTTTTTAGGGCAAGTCCCTGCTTTTAATAATTATTTATTGTGTAATGATTTTAACATTGTATTCCTTTTAATTGTAAATAGATGTTTGTACAGAAATATCATTTTTAAATCATTTAGGTAACTTATTTATGTGTGTGGAGTTGCTTGATTTATTGTGTGTGTTCTGTCTGCTCAGATAGAAACTGTCATTTTGAGGTTCTTGGGTTGTGCTATGTGTCATAGTCTCCAGAATAAGCCTTTTTAGGAGTGGGAAATATTGTATGAAGAGACTTAACCACAGTTAGTTTAAATGGAAGAGTATTGGCGGCCTCAAAGCATATGTATAAATACAGTACTGGTATGTGTTTTTGAATATAAAACATAAGGCAGATGGTCTTGTTTTTTCAGATTCGGTAATTAAAACAAATGGTAATTAAATGAACTGATACTTCATGAAATATATTTCTATGAAGTAAAATATTTTAATTACATTTATTTTCATGTTGCTAGTTATTAAAAAAAACTAAATCGACAATTTAAGGAATTTTAGGGAGTGCATGGTATAGTGTCTGGAGAATTAATTCAAAGGAAAGCATATTGTTAAAATACAGGTAAATTAGGGATGGCTGGTGCAGACCATATTCAAAAACAACAACTATTGTCATAATGGACAGTTGGTTTTGTAATTGTACTTAGTAATAGGCTTGTACATGGAATATAATATAAATGCATATAAGTAATTCTAAAAAATCTGTAGTCTTTCTGTGAACTGTCATCCTAGTTTTTTGGTTAATGATGATGATTTGCTTATATTTTCAGTATATGTTTTTTTTTATCTACTATATAGTTACATTTATTTTTATTTGATGTAGCATAACATTTTATTTGTAACAACCTTCACTATTGAATTTGTGTCTTTTTAATGATAGCATTTAATTATGCGTACTTCAAAACTATAACTTGCAGTTAGCTTATAAAGATTACCTCAGAAAATTTTTTTATAAGTGTTTATTCCCAGCAAGTCCACTGTTACTTAATATAAACAAGTAAATATATGTTTCCATTCTATGTGTATTTACAAAAAAAAGTCGAAATGAAATAAACACTCACTAATACATTGATAATCTAATGATGTGTTAATGACATTATTAAACAAATTGTGAAAATATGCAAAACAACTTATATTACACAAAATACATATAAAAAACCTTAATCTCTTCAGGGACTACTTACTTTTTATATATATTTTAGTATGAATTATGTACATCATCTTGATCAAAATATATTGTGCACGTATGAAAAGTTTATATATGTGTATATGAATCTATATTGATAATGTTATATAATAATATGAAAAATTTTTAGCTCATCATTCTGTAATGAAAACCTACTGTTATATTTCAGTATGGGTTATGAACAAAGTGTTGGCCCAAAGAAAGAAGAAAGTTAAAGCTTTCATGGCAAAAAGTGAACGTTTCAGTATTTTCTCACATGAAATACATTCATTTTCATGTCCATACTGTTCAAAAATGTTCAAGGAGAGGCGTCTGTTGAAGCAACACCTGAGTGTGCACAATCCAGACACATTTTCCTGTGGATGCTGTGGTTTAACGTTTCGTTGGAGATCTCAGCGAATAAGGCACATGAAAAACTGCCATTAAAGCATGTTTTGTGAATGTGAGCATCATGTTATCATCCTGTTTTCGTGTTCATGATTAAGATGAAATAGAAGATAAGTTATTTGTGTTTATGTTCAACTTCAGCATATTAAGTGTAGGGCATTATTTTGTAAATATCTGTAAAGAAATTATTTGGGTAAAACCTTCCTATTTTTCTTTATATTTATAGTGAATTGCATTCAAATAGAAATATTTTATTTATCCTCATATTAGCAACTTATTTTTTATGCTATATGCTACCAGGAAATCCACATTGAGTAATTTTGTTTTTGCCTGTTACAACACTTAGTGTAAAGAACTGAAAAAATTTGGGTGAAATCATAATTTTCGATGTAAAATATGCAGGTGACCTCAGAAGTAATTAG